CTGGCTGTAGTGGGGGTACCTGGGGGTGGCAGATAATAAGGTTTCCCTGTAGGAAAAAAAGAAAATGTAGACAGTAAAAGGTGGCATCGCTCCACAAAAATGCGTGGAGTTAGCAGTGCTGACGTGATGGGGCTCTATCCAGGGAAATGAACGTCTACACATTCCAGTGAGTGCCGTCTGCTCCGTTCATTGTGAGTGGAAACACATATGGAGATGCAATTATGTGGCTTATAACTGCACAGTGCTTCAGGGCAAAAATTGCATCACATTAAAAGTCACTTTATCCAGCTATGGTTGGGTACAGAGGATTGTAAGAATAGGTAAATGATATATATATACAGGAAAGAGAGAAGAGTTTGTATGATGGAACTGAAAAAGGTGCTGAAAAGTACCCCTAGTACTCATAACCAGCATCTAGTGAGATCCTGTTATCCTACAAGGAATTTCAGCTGGACGTTGTGCTGCAAAGCAAAGATGCAGCTGCTAATATGCTGCACCTCGTGTAGTGTCATGTGGTCCCAATGCTAGCTGCTGAAGTATCGGGGAGAAAATAATAGTATATATTTTCTGTATGCCTTTTCTTTTTTCTTTTTTTTTTTTTTTATTTTTAAGGACATTTACATAAAAAGGAGCTTTATTGTCCAGAATTCCTCTTCCCTTCACTTGATGTCATGTTTTACTTTCACATCAAGAATAATCTCAGACAAGATAGAAATTCTGATTTTGTATGTATAGTTGCTTATAATGAGAGTTCTGTTTATGGCATTTTGTGAAGTAAATGAAAATATTTGTAGCTGATAAATATTATTTCCCTAATACTTACAACTTTTTGGTTTATTCATAGGAGTTATGCTGCAGAGGAGTGGGCTATTGTGGATTGCTGTCTTGATAACCCTGTGGATTTCCTCAAATGCTCAGGGTAAGTTCACACACTTCTTAACTATATATAGAGTAACTCTGAAAGCTAAAAGTTGGCGTGAAACATTGGCTTACCTGAGCTACAGTGGGCAAAGTAATCATATATGATTTTTTTAGAAGAACCTGGAATAGTGGTTTGCTGGGAGTATTTTTGGTGGATACATCTTACTACTGCTAAAGGAAGATTCCCCAATAAATATACAAAAATTGCTTTCTTTAGAAATTGTTGATCAAAATATATGTAAACTTAGAAATAATTGCTATTATACTTTCCTCTGCAGTAGAAATGTCCAGTGAAAGTAACAAACAGAATCACTGAGTGGAGTGAACGTTTTAAAAAGATAGAGGCAGAGAAGTAGACTCCTACAGACCAAATATAAGTGGAATGTAAATTGGCACAGTGCCAGACCCTCATTTACATCTGAGTTCTTGGTCTGACTCTTTAAAAAGCAAATCTGTTGCTTCCTGTTGTCGTGTGGCCACATGGCTTCTCATAATTTGATTTTTATTGGCTGAGAAATTGGCTCAACTTCCTTATCCATTGATATATATTAAAAATATTTAATGAATACATTGTTACATGCATCCATACGTAGGCATATACATGACATACAGCACGTATATATATGCAAGTGTATATTATATAGTGCTATAAAATATATAGCCATATGTTTAGCTATATAATCAAACACATTTATACCTACACACATAGACGGAGGGAGTTGTCATGTAAATGGAAATGACAGGTGGAAAATAGTATTCACTTGCCTGCTAGTAGGAACAGTTCTGTTTGTGGAAGTAGGAAAGAACTGGGTTTACTCTGCTGATCCTTACATCTGTCATATCATTGTAGTTACTAAGTATAGTGTGCAGAGTTGTTTCTTGTAAGACTTTTTGTAGACACATTGTCATACACTGTTAACTTTTTCAGATGGTGACAAGGAAGAGGAGACTGCCTTTGATTTACTTCAAATCAGTAACATAAACCGAAAGACAGTTGGAGCAAAAGTGTTTCGGGGTCCAGACCCCACTATCCCAGCATATCGTTTCATTCGGTTTGACCATATACCTCCATGTAAACCAGAGAAATTAAAAAAGATTGTCAAACTCATACGGCAGAATGAGGGCTTTATCCTTTCGGCCACCCTGAGACAGGACAGGCAATCTAGAGGCACTATCCTTGCTTTAGAGGGTCCTGGCATCAGTGAGAGGCAGTTTGAGATCATTTCCAATGGCCGGGCCAACACCCTGGACCTTATCTATTGGGTGGATGGCTTCCAGAATGTGATTTCCCTGGAAGACGTGGACCTCGCCGACTCACAGTGGAAGAACCTCACCGTGCAAATAACAGGGGAGAACTATAACCTCTATGTTGGCTGTGACCTTATTGACAGCTTCATCCTGGAGGAGCCTTTCTATGAGCAGCTGAAAGCAGAGAACAGCAGAATGTATGTGGCAAAAGGGTCCATTCGGGAGAATCATTTCAGGGTAGGTAACCTGGAGGAGCTTGGGTCACTGATGAGGTAAGAAAGTAACTGCAAGTAGTTTGAGAAGATGCAATAGGTGAAATTTTGTTCTCCCAACATCTCTTGGATTTGATGAGGTCACAGGTGTTCCCAAGCAGAATTTCTCCAGAGTGTGTTTTTATTCATTGCTGGATCTGTGTTGTGGGAAATTTGGGTTCCTGAAAGCAAATGACTGGTAAACCAAAGTCTAGGTCCAGGAAAAGTGCACAAAACCAGTTTATGGGCTTTCCTATGCATCCTCACACTTTCTTTTCCAGAAGTAAGACTTCTAAACGTATCGCGTTTAGGTGATGATTTGTAGTATTCTTTGGAAATTTCTTTAATAAGTATGTTTCCATTGAAATATATCTATTCAGGTCATAAGAGCCTGTCTTATAGAACAACTTTGTTCTATTTTATTTGAAAGAGGAAGGAGAAAAAAAGTATTTTTAATGCACCTGAAGCATGTGGTGTTGGTCCATTCCCTAACAGAATATCTTGGTTTGCCATTCTGAATAACCTGTAGTTTTAATTTAAAGAAAAAAAAAATTAGAACAAAATGTTTCGATCAGTCCTGTAAATGAGATCTTTTTGTTTTGGTTTGTTTTGTTTGTGTTTTTTTTTTCTTTCTATGGAAAACATTTATTGTTTCTCTTTTGTTTTAAAATTAAACAGTTACAAACTTCCTGGTTTTCCTGTGAATGAAAATTACCTCCTGCCCCATATAATGACGTGATCTGGCCAAGTGCTTCTTTTCGCTCACAGCTGAAATCAAACTTGAGCTCATGGCTTCAAAAATTTGAAAAGCCCTTTCCTTCTCATGCTGTTGTGCCATCTAGTTGTCAGCGAGAGCGTGACGCCTTGGAGTATGGTTCCATGGGGTCACCAGTTTTGGCAGGGAATCCAGAAGTTCTTGCCCACAGC